ACTGTCCGCGTGTTCATTCCTAACTGTCCTTTATGATGTTATCGGCAAAATGAAAGGGAACAATTTCCGGTTTTTAATTTTCTTCAGTATTGCGGACAACAATATCCCACCAACGAGTCAAACTAATACTTAGTGCCTAGCAGTAGGGGATGTCAGTATTGTTTTCGAAAGTACCCAGGCTTCCGACAACCACAGATGCTACCAATCTATTGCAGAGGGTTTGTTATGAAAAAATATGCCACATAGCAGTAATGGAGGGGTTGTACGCATTACGTAGTGCGTTAAAGCAATCTTAACATTGAAAAGCCGGAAATCTGCTATCAGTGTGTAGTGTATGTTTGCTGTTTCGACCATAAAAGGAAGCCGAAGGGTCATGATCAGGGATTAAAAATGTAACTAACTGTTATTAAGCTCACCTTTTTATAGACCATAATTCACCACTCGCAAATTTGTTATTTTTACGGTATGATGTCAACCGTTATCTAATATGTTCACCTTTACGATGAAATGTACTTGCAAATTCTCAACTTCATATTCGAATTGATTTGTGACAACTGTCTTCCAGTTTGAGTGCTTCGTACGCCCTGGGAGACTAGATTCCTACATTATTCACAGTTCCAGTATAACTTTCTCACACAGTAAGTTCAAAGTAAACACTAGTCTTTCTAAATAAGCATGTTAAGCTAATATCCGTATTCTCTATTTCAGATGATCGATGAAGACATGTACCACGTGCATCTGTTGTATATTGTTATTTTACTCCAATTCTTACTGTTATATCTTCTGAAAAATAAAATTGCTATATGCAGCAAATACAGACTTATTGTTTTGATGGTGGTAGGGGGGTTCATTGGTTTTTTAGCAGGACTGTAGTAATATTCCCACTAAAGAGCTAAGTGAGTGCGTAGACCAATGTAAAGTACCATACAGGGTGCCTTTGAATTACTCGTGTTCCATTAGTGTCGGTAGAAGCATTACTTGCTTATCATATGATATTTGAATAAGAAGCTATGAGATTAGATGCAGGGACGGTTAGGATGTGTAACGCGTGTCCATCCATCAGTTTTCGTGGCAACTCACGGTGGCTAGAATAAGTTGTGAGAGGACCCGAGCCTGTAGGTTTCCTAAGAAAGTGACGGAGATATGCACCAAATCACCTTATGAAGAGCGCCTCCAATCACTTAACCTCTACTCATTAAAGTATAGACGTCTTAGAGGTGACCTATTTACTTACAGGATCCTTAACACTTCTGGACATTTTCTTAAACACCTATTTGAGCTTAGTCCCAGAAACTAGAGACACGACATAGCAGAATGGACTGTAGACGCAACTTCTACTCCTTAAGAGTTGTCAAATGCTGGAATTCGCTGCTCGCCGAACTAGTCCAAGCGACTTCCCAGGAGTCATTTGGGAGGCGACTGGATCTTTTATTGTTAACATACCTAGGTTCCTGCTTGGAGGTTTTGGTGATCCCCTGCTAATAGACACGGAAGCATGAACACATGAATTAGGTGATGAGAGGCTCGATTATCACAAGTTTCTTGCAACGATTAAGTAGATAAAACAAAGTAGCATTAGGTTCAAAAATTTATTCCAGAACTTTCATTAAGAATCGAATATGAAACAAAGGTTTAAACCAAGTTCCAGTCTAAAAGTTGCATTTGTAATGTTAAGCTGCAGTTTTTGTTGTTTTTTCCAAACGAAAGGGTAAAAGAAGTAACCCGAAAAGTACTGGAAGTGGTTGTGAGATTAAAATGGACATCCAGCATCCTTTTTATAATCTGCTGTTAGTTGGGTCTCCCGTAAACAGATCCATAGGGCCATAGTTCTAAGGGCGAAACAGTTCTTAACATCTGTGAAGACTCAGTCCTGTTGCATTCTAAATGAGAAAACAGTAATGAATTTAGTCAGAAATGTGGAATAGTTAAATAACCAAATTACATGTATTTTAGCAAAGAATTTATGCAGTTGTGATTTACCTTTAGTTCATGAATATTAGGTCAGGTCAGCTATTTATTGTGCAAAGCATAACATGGACTCAATACCGTATCTCAATGCTTTTATTATTTTGCTCTCATTTAAGTATTACCATGTATCTGCATCTAGTTTAACAGGGAGACATACAAGCAGAGTTAGTGTTTGATGAACTAAAAGTCCTAGTTGTCAAAAAGATTCTTAACATTTGTCCACAGCCAACTGCATTTAATTGAAATACAGAACACTCATCTTCTAAGACTGTATACTGCTCTTCTACGGGCAAATAAAAGCTCAGATACTTAGCTATCCTGCTACCGATGATATATTGCTGGGGAAATTGTTTAATGACAGTGATCATGAAATATGGTCAGTGATAGATGTACAATCTAGAAATAAACACCAAACATACTTATCGCTATCTTACAATGTATGACAGCAACAGTACCAAAAGCACTTTTTTCCTATTTTTAATCAGACTGATTTGAATCAGTATACTCATCAGAAACAGGCAACTCTACTTACTAGGCTGATCTGTTTCGTTACAGACTTCAAGCACTATACCATAATTCTTTCAACTAAACTGAATTATACGACAACCAAGAATACTAAACTAAGCAAGTGTCATAGTTATTGTTTCATTTGCACAGGCATATTGCTTAAAGTAGTTAAATGGACATAATTAAGACGATAAAACAAAAACACGAAATATAGGCCAATTGAACTTACCGAACAGAAGACAAAGAATATATATATTGCTTTCCGACTGACGACAACAAGCAGTTGTTCATAAAAACATAGTTTATAGTACAATAAACCTTTCTACAGTAAAATCATGCACTGACAGTCTATCTGGAAACAATCAACTATGTGAATAAACTCACTATGACTTGAGATATCATCCCAGTATGCAATGGACGTGCAGTGTAACGCAGTCGAACGTGGCGAATAAAAATATAAAAAAAGATCAAAATTAGCTATATAATCTAGTTATTTAATTAAAAATACATTTTGAAATGTCAAAATCTGTGGTTACTTGAACGCACAGATGACCGGTACATTAAGTTTACATGGTTGCGTTGCGGATAAGATCACCCATATGAGCATAAGCGGGTTTGTGATATTTGCATGAAAAGACTGAGAAAATCAGTCAAATTTAAAGCATTCTACTTCCTTTCACGGTCGATAGAATTGCGCTCTATGCGTTAGTTTACGTTATGGGATTGGGTGACATCCCATGTTAAAATATACGTTTTTGATTGATCCTGAGCCTTCTTAAAATAGACAACAGAGGAGAATATTTTACCAGAAGAATTGTAGTATATGCTACCTATGTTGACAGACATATGTATTAGGAAGAGTAGGTCTATGGAAGAGGTTGTGAACACCAACGCATGGGCCAGTCCGTTGTGTGCGATTAAGTGATTAACTTGACGAGGTTTGGTGAACTGTTTGACACTCAGTGACCCGACTGTCGTATGACTTGTTTAGGGATCAATGATATTTATTTGGCCCTACAGTAGTATGTAGCACCAATTAGAAGTGGAACGTCTGGTAGTAGAAGATTGAGAAGATCGAATTGAAGAGAACGGGATGTAAACAAATAGTAATTGAAGTAACAGTGAAGGGAGGATGAAGTTTGATATGACTGATTTAAGATTTGCAAATGAAGTATTTTATGTATGGTTTTTAACATTTTAATTTTGCACTGAATATAAGTTCTCATTCACGACAAACTGAGTTCTTACCTATCTACTGTAAGTTCTTGTTAGAGAAATATCAACTTCTTGAGTGAATATATAGTAATATTGGTTCTTAATGACACGATCTTTGAAACAGAATCTACTATAACTGCAGAAATCTACATTGCAAAGTGAAGAATTGGAGGTTAGATATGATAGACAACTGGAGTCTCCAAGTAACAATACTTATTTTAGCTAAGAAACATAACTTTGATTTTCAAAATCTACAAATTAATATTAAAAACAACACGGATTAACATTTTATAACATCAAATGTGCGAGCTTCACTGAAGAAATACATTGAATTGAGTAGACTCAGCGAAAACCGAGAAACAAAGCTGATTCAATGACAATTTGCGTCAACAATTAAAGCATTACATTGGCCGCGTAATTTCAGCATACCGAAAAACTTAATTATGCAGCCGAAGATGGCACAGGCATTCAGTGTTTGACAACGCTTTTACCAATAACACCTAATAAAACTCGTACCCAACAAGAGAAATCAAAAGACAAAATCGAGGAGATCAGAAGTTGTGTTTGACGATTGCCAATATATCGGAATTGTCTGATCTAGTCTGGCTAGCGATTGCAGTAGATGCTGAGCACGGCGTTCCCACACGTGATCTGGTGCGGATGCATGACCGAGCGCCTTCAACTCGGTAAGTCTTTCGTGCCTATAGGTAACCCTCGTGCTATTGATAGAAGAAACCAGACAAGTAGTGAATAGGTCTTTATTTAGATCTTCGCGCAGTCACAGTGGAGCTTGGGATTATCTGTTCAGACAAACAAAGGCTTTCAACATTCAATATAAAATAATAGAGAATAAAAGGCTTATACAAAATAAGGAAGTGAATGAATGCTTGGACAATACTGTTTTGGCGTATGCTTGGTTGTTTACGGTCAACTCTTAACCAACCAACCTATGCTGTTACAAGTCCACTAAACTAATCTGGTCAGCACCCAATGGCGAAAACTTACAGAGCTATTTATTTTAGAGATTTATTTACCGCTACACATCTACACAAAAGAAATAAGGAAAAATCAGAACGAGGAAGGCCGATTGCTATTGCTTACTAATATGGCAGACGTGATAATTTCCGCTTCATTCTGATCGGTCGCTAAGTAGAGTACCACAATTACAAAGTCGAACGAAGTTGAATTGCAGCACAGGGAGTCGGGACGGTGTCTTGATCTGACCGCTTCTGCGAAACCTTACGGATTATCGAGAAGACACACCAATAGTTCTAAGACTGTTTGACCTTCAAGTGCTCAATAACCTGGCGCGAACACTGTAAGTGGGAACACCTTGCGTGATACAAATATGTTTAAGGCTAGTCAATTTTTAAAGTTTGTTGTACTAAGGTTACGACACCATATTGTATAGCAGACTAAGCTTCCTCCTGAACATTTTTTCATGAAGTTGTTACATATCTATCATAGACTGACTTTTGTAAATATTCTATACAAGACCATATCATTTAACCTTTGTCAGTTTTCATCTCCTGCTCGGGCTAATTAAAATACAAATGCTTAATTGACAGCAGACATATCACTTAATATCTAAACCTTCGGTCTCTAAAGCCTTTCTACTTACCACAGTTACTGATTTTAGTATTAAGGCAGTTAATAATAAACGACAACTATGTACTCATTTATTCGATTTATTTAGACAAACTCTATACTCGCTCAGCTTTTAATTGTGGCTAATAACCCCAGTAAATAGTTAAAATATCGCTGATTTCTGAACCAACCAAAAGGTCGAAATCTGTAATCCCTATATCTGACGAATCAGTACTTGGCAAAGTCAAACATTCATCTTCTGAACTCTGTGCCTCTTATCTACATATATCACTACTCGATTTTTCGAGTGACGTTCCGTCCATCCCTTTTTGCGGTATGCCAGCAGCAAGACCAATTTTGGGGAAGCCGCTATAGAAACGTTTGGGGAAATGATACCAAAACCCCAAAATTTCCCTGTAACCTGGGTGAAGATCATTTGTCTTTGAGGATATCCCCGAAATTCCTCAAACTTTGGAGATCGGGACCGGTTAATATAACACATATAGTACCAACATACACTGACATGTTAACACAATGTACCCATCAGTATAATTTACTTAGGTCAAAAATAAGAATCTCACAAACTGCGGCATCTAATATTCGGACACCAAAATGCTGATTTCTATAGTGGCGATACAAGGCAGATAGGAAACTCACTTGCTGAAATTAACAATAGTCTTAATCAGTTAGCATCCTCCACGCATATACGGGCTTTAAATAATAATAAAAACTCCAAACACCACTAAAACCGAATGAATCATTTGGTTCGTGCCTGGAGAAGCAACGAAAAGAGTGGTGTCTTCCTACAATGTGGTCGCCTACAATGGCACTGACCACACACCCCACCAAGCTAAGGAATATTAGCCCTCGAAAATGTTGTGCTGAACTTCAGTTGCCAATTCGTTCGCTATAGAAAAAAGTTAGATGAGTCAACATGCTCCCTTCTGTTTAAATTTAGCTGTTGTAACGATGCTAAACAGTTGGTAAATTCGAGTAAAAATATTAGTTCGTTTATTCCATGTAAAACGTAAGAGCCACTCAGAGACAACACCTTGTCAGCGTCGTGTAAGAAGACGGAGAGCTGGGATCACATGATCTAGTTACAGCAAATAATCAACTAGAGACAACCTCTAACACTGTGAAGAGTATCAAACACGTCTATCGTCAGTGTGATGTGAATACGCAGACGATGTTACTCTGAAGATTTAGATGAGTCTGCAGAAAATAAAATTTCGAATAAATTAAAGAATCAAGAAAAAAACCTAGAAAACATAGCGACATTTACGATTCTAGTATGGGCTGTTCGACTAGTAAAGTGCTTAAATATAAGTCATATGACGAGACGTAAACCAAGTCGATTTTCAAAAAGACAGACGTACGTTTCAAGCTAGCTATGACGTTGTGAATAAGTGGTAGGGAATTGTGATTAAGTGTCGTTCTCATTCTGATTCACCGATAATCACCAGTTGGATGCTAATCACTTGTCTTTTCAAGGGACTATATCCTAGGGTGATGCCTATGGGCTGTTTGATGATAGGGTACTTAACAAGTCTACCAAATGCTCGAATTTGTTTATTGCAAATCTTAGCACTTTGGGAGTCAGTCCGTGCGCTTTCAAAAATCCAGGTGGTCCTGTAGTCGTGACGTGGTATGTAACATTTATGATCATACATGGTAGTTCAGTTGTGTTTTGTAATGCTTGGAGTACTTATCGAGTGTCTGTTGAAAGTATAAGTTCACTGTTTATTCATGACAAAGCCCATCAGTGATGTATAGCAAACGACTAAATTCATCAGTCACAGCCGCTGTTATCGTGTGGCGGTTAAAATGTTTCGCGGAAGGTTTGGGGTTGACAAGACTGCAGAAATTCTCGAAATTTTTAAGTGATTTACCATAGGTGTTTTGGTGCACACGCCACTCAGGACTATCTGTTCCTCGTGGTCTCGTTAAGAGTTTCTTTGAGGATTTTCGGAGCATCTGCCTTCATGATAAACGTTGAGAAAACGATTAAGAGTACTATAGAGATCCGTAATGTCACTTATTGTCATTTGAGGCATTTCTTGGTCAGAACAAACCTCGATGTTGGAAGTTGTAGTGATCTCCATAAACGATCGGGAGATGCAGTCTGCCCATTTACGACGTTATTTTGGAATGGGACGACAGCCCCTTGAACCTGCTAGGAAAGCTTAGATAAGTTATCTAAAGAGGTCCTAGTCGAAAATTCACTACCCAAAGACCTACCACATATGTAACAACGTACCTGTTATTGAGCTGCATTGCAATTCGATATGCGGCGAGCCAATACAAATATGAGAATATCTTAACTTATTTAATGCTCCTAAACATATACAAAGATGAGTTAATAGAACACAAAGAAGTTATACAAAATATATAAGAATTACTTGCTATTGTTAGAAGGGTGTGTTTACGGGTCCGTGACTGATATTGGTTAACAGTTGTTTTGAGTTTCATCTTAACCGTAGAAAAATGGCCCTTGCTTTGCCAATTCTTACTGTTATATCTGCATCAACTTCTTGTTCATCGATGGTAATGTCCAGGTACATAAAAGTTTCTAATTCTTCGAGAGTTTCTCCATCAAGTGGGATCGGGTTTAGAGGAAGATAAAGAGTGTGTACACCTACGATATTGTGATCGGTTCTGATCCATATCATCCAGTCTCCAACGATTGGTTACTATGGTCACGCGGACCCCAACCAAGTCTATCTATCAACATGGCTCAAACCAGAAGTTAGCGACTTCAAGGATTGATGCTACGTTTTGGGTTTAGCCGCTCCTAAGTACTGACAAGAGTTGCAAGCAATAAATTATGTCTAATAACAAAGCCTGGAAGAACCTAGTAAGTGGTAAATGCTTGTTTTTTTCCAAAAGCACTAAAAAGATCTCCATAAACACTAGACACTCATTTATTCACTTACCATAATATATTATTTAATGCCAAATTGAGAAAATGGAACTCAATAAACACTAAACGATGGTTTGTTCATTGAACATCTTCAAATGTTGGATTGCAGTTTGATTTTAAAGTTGCGGATTGAATTATCTGGTTCCGATTCGATTTCCAGATTGTCTTAATTTAAGGTTTGTTTAGTTGCTGATTGCTGTCTATTGATTTTCTTACTGGATGTAAGTGCACTTTGTGTTCTATTTAGCATCCTCCCCTAGCACCTAAAATACCATCTGATTGGACGCAAACCGTTGCAGATCTGTAACTGATTCGAAGCCTCCAGCTATCAACCTCTAGTTTCAATTATCAGCTTATTAATTCTAATGGTTATCGATTGCTTTCAATGTTAAGTGTAAGTGCATGCTATGTACCTCCTGAGCTGTCGGCTCACTTCTGTTGTTATTTTCTTTTCCAGATTCTCTGCTCCCCACCCACGCAGCTTACAAGGTACCTTCAGGCTAGACACAAACCTACCCAAGGTTGAATGTTTCAAGTCATATGCCTCAAGGTTTGTATCTATTCTATCTAGCTGATAACTCTCTATTTAAGAGAATCGTATTGAATTTTTTTGTCAAGAATGTGATCCGAAAGTCAACAGGATATTAATTACAGTATATAAAGTACCATGCAGTGCAGAAATTATACTAAGGTATTTGGAGTTGACGAATACTGACAAAAAGTAACATCATTTTTGTACACTTCGTTTGATTTACCGTTAATTTCGATGCTTGATCCCGTCCCGTGTTTATCGGGTTGAGCAATGGATCCTTGGATCTTGTAGAAGTATTGAAATGCAATTTAGACTGCAATATATCATTAAACAGCACCAACGTAATATAGCATATTGGAGAGCTCCAATGTTTTGTAATTCAATCACTGAACAAATCTATGCATGTGAAAACGTTTTTAGGGGTTTTTAAACGCTTTTGAGGTGTTCTTAAGTTTTAGGTTAGGGATAAGTAACAATTACTCAAAAAATATGTTTTGAATAATCGTATTTTGGCAAACATCTACTCGTTTAACATAAAATGTCTTTCAAGTAACTCGAACAAGTTAAATATTCTTTACGAAATTCATAGTTCACCGAAGAGCCTGGCTTTTTTAAAATAATTTCTTCTAATGCCAGTGCTACCATTTAGCTGTAAAAAATAACTAATGAGTAAACCCTCAAAATTCAGTTGTGTACCTAGGACAGTAAGTCATATTTTACACCAATATATACAAGCATTACAAACCATGGTAACTGAATATTTCGATTTGCTTAAAGTCTCAATTTATAACATTCAATTTTCCTGTCCATGTGTTCTTTTTTGGTCTTATCTTCCCTTTCAGTCTAGAATGCCGATTTCTTAAACGACCTATGCTTCCTTATGATGTGTAAATACCAGTAATTCTTCGTATTCTTCCCTCATATTGAGTACCTCAAGAATCTACATACCTCTCATTTGATTAAATAATATTTACACTTAGTAATTTTCAACTATTGAAACCACTTATCCAAAAATTTAGGATCAAATAAGGAAATAACATTGGTTTTTAGTTCTTATATTATACTATTCGACTCACTTAAGCTCCTGCTTTTATACCATTATAGTCTCTCAAGCTTTTCATGTTCTTTACATTGATTTTATGTACTTCAGATAACTCCTGCAGATATGCTGATCACATGCAAATTATATCCAACGCTGTTCAAGAATGGGATTCCGCATTTATTTCACTCACGAAGTCTTGCAAACACTTATATGAAAGTCGTAAGGAAAACAATCTGCTAGTTGATGTCCAACCGTGTTTTTCGTTTCCGATTCTAAACGAACTCATTGAAACACGCTTAAGTAATTCCATGAAATTAGCTGTTGGCAAATACCAAGAAAAATCATTCGATGCCAGAGACAAATTTAATCATTCAACGGATCATCTATTTTCTGTTCTAAATTCATTTGCCGAGGCCGTTATAAACCATTACGTTCTAAACAGTCGCCTTCCTAAAGTTATCTCAATTCAAAATATCCTGAATGTAATAAATTCCTTTAAAAATATGTTGGCTGATGAGTGCGATGCAATCGGATTATTCCACTTTAAACAAGTTTTTGATGATTCATTTGACACTAACGACAAGTGGACCAATTACTTTCTGTCTAGTAATTCTCTGAGTAAACGTACTTGGTGTAATGATTTTATTGTACAGTTAAATACCTTGCTAGATTTTTTGATATAAGGCTGTCGACCTAACTATAGGTTTTTATTTGGATGCAGATGTTAGTGGTGGTAAAGCCCCTGCAGAAAAATAGCTATGGAATAAATAACTATACTTGATGTGTTCTTTGAATTAGTCTGTTCGTAGGATGATAAGATTTATATGTGATCTTTTTTAGTGCATCTTTAATCGTAAAATTCAGTGTGGTCTGTCAGTGATCATGAACATAAGACGTAGTACAATTGTGCCTCGGTCCAAGAGGCCATCAACATACTAAAAACTTACTAACATAAATAGCAAAAAAAGTTAAACAGTAAAAACACCGATTGTGTCGCGAAGAATAAACACGGAAGGTATGGTTCGAAAGGAGACATGCCATGTAAAATCTTCAACTATTAGAACCCTATACTCTTTCGCCTTCATAAAATGATTCGGATGTTTGCCAGTTAATCCAAAGTTATAGGGACTAGAGTTTGTCAGCAAATCATCCACTTAGAGAAAATGCGGGGTAATCAATGTGAGATAAATTTTAAGTGAATTTGTTTCAAGCCACAGATTCTGTACACTATCGTCACTTATTAGACTTTCACTCACCCTTCCAATGTAAGCACTAACCTATCCTGTCAGTTTTTCCCAATCAGTTAAAAATAACGTAGCACCAGCCATAGTATATCAGTACAGTGCAAAGAACGTAAAAAAGCAGTATTACAGGAAAGTCGAAGGAGTAGCATTTACGCCCGTAAAAACCTAAAAATAAAATGTGGTTTGAAAAGAAGTAAGGTTCGAACCTGTGAGTCATTGTTTTAGGTCATTAGTGATATGACTGTACTAATGGAAGCACGTAAGACGGGGTTGGGCTTAGCATGTTTTAGGTTAAGAGTATTTAAGCTATACGAAAACCACATGTCCATTGAGTGTTTCTTCGGCATTATATTTTTAAAAGCAGGGTAACTTTCATGTGGTCAGTCAGTCAGTAACAACGTAGAACTTAGTACGTACGTACATCAGTTCGAGTTGCCACACCACATTACCACAGAGATGCAGTGGTCGATTCAAATCCCGTAGTGGTAGAGGTAATAAGAGTATAAGCAGTAATCGGGAAAATGAGTGTTTGGAAGGACACAAAGAGTGTATGCACCTGCACCATTGCAAACGATTTTGAGCCATGTCATTCAGGGTCTCTAACCATCGGTTGATATCATCTCGCGGTCCCCAACCAGGTAGTCTACACCTACCAACATGACTCAGTCCACTTGTCAGTGACTTCATGAACTTGTGCCATGTTTTGGTCTGGCCGCCCCTAGCTTTCTTCAAACCTACTCCTACACCACCGAACATCGCACGTCGAGGCAGTCGGTGTTTGGGCATATGTAACTCGTGTCCCAGCCATCTCAAATGATGAAGTTTCACTACTTCATCAATTGATTTGCCATCCTTACCTAGTACCCGTTTCCTAACAACTGCGTTACTTACTCGATGGTTCCAGGATATACGAGCAATGTTTCGAAGACACCTATGATCGAATACTAGTAACCTACGGATATCCTCTACTCTTACCGGCCATGTTTCACTGCCATAAAGTAGGACGGAACGAACTGCTGCGCAGTAAACCCGTCCTTTGGTTGATAGACGGATATCTTACCTACGCCATAATCGACGCAAGTTGGTAAACGCTAGTCGAGCCTTCTGTATCCGTGCTGAGATTTCGTCACACATCAGACCACAAGGGCTGATGAGACTTCCAAGATAAGTGAAGCGATCGACACGCACAATTACTTCACTCCCTATCATTAGTTCGGGTGTCAATACAACCCAATCCTGAAGCAACATTTTGGATTTCGAGGGGGGGAATCGCATCCCGAACATGCTTGCATTGTTGTTTAGAGTGGTCAGAAGACTTTGAATTTTGTCGGCGTCTTCACCAAATGAAACTATGTCATCTGCATATTCCAAGTCAACAAGTGAACCTCCCGGTAGAAGTTCAACCTCTGGAAATCTAGATGGGGAAAATGTTATCTCTAAAAGTACGTCGACGACAAAGTTGAACAAGAATGGAGAGAGTGGACAGCCCTGACGAATACCACTTGAGCTAATCAATTCTGATGACAATTCGCCATAAGCTCTCACTCGACCAGTTGTGTTCGAGTAGAGAGTCTGAATAAGGTTAATGTCCTTCTTTGGTACTCCTTTCAGTGACAAACACTGCCATAGAACCTCACGATCGACAGAGTCGAATGCCGCCTTAAGGTCGAGAAATACTACCATTGTGGGGCGTCTAAACGTGTGTCTGTGTTCTAGAACCTGACGTAGTGTAAATATGTGGTCTATACAACCACGTCTAGGTCGAAAAACAGCCTGATTTTCTCTGGTCTGTTCTTCACGAGCTTTAGTTAGGCGTCGAAGTGTTATTGAAGCTAATATTTTAGACACTATATTTGTCAAACTGATTCCTCTGATTGTCACAAGAGGACTTTTGTCCTTTCTTATAGACTGGCACAATCAGTGATTGAGACCAGTCAGATGGGATTACGTCCAGTTCCAAAATTCTATCTAAGACCTCAGTTAATCTCACTGCTAATATTGAACCACCATCCTTAAAAATCTCAGGAGTAAACCTGTCAGGGCCTGCTGCTCTCCCTCGCTTCAGATTTCCTATGTCTTTTTCATCTTCGTAAAGAGACGGAGGACCTACATTAACTTGCCATTCAGGTTGACTGGAGATCGTGGGAAATCGAAGTGTTGCTGCAGGCCATTTGAACTGATCACTGAAGTGTTCTGCCCATCGGTCCAATCTCCTGGGTTGAGAATGTATAATATGTCCATCTCTCTCTGAGAGTGTTTCGCTAACAGTCGGTTTCCTAATACCGGTTTCCTTAATTGGTCTGGACAATTTTCTGCCATTACCTATTGCCGTTGCCTTTTCCATCTCTCTCTTGCTTTCGCTACCCACCACTGTTCACGATCATTGCGTAGACTTCTTGTCAGCTTGCACTTAAGCTGACTCCGCTCTTCATTATGTTCAGAGCCGGGTGGAATTAGTTTCCGAGCATCTATCAATGCTATAGATGCTGCTGAGATCCAGTGTTGCTCCCTAACCTTACGGGTTACCGTACTAGCAGATATCACTGCTGTTTCCACAGCTTTTCGGATAACATTCCGTGCTGCCTCAGGGTGAGCATCACATATATGGCTGCCTAACTGTTTTCCTAGTTGTTCCTGAAATATACTCTTAGCTTAACTATCATTAAGCAGGCCCCTAAGAGGTTTCCTTGCAGCGTCTTTCCTACGTCTAGCAAGACGCAGGCGAATACGCGCTCGTACTAGAGCATGATCCAAATCTAAGCATGTGCTCCAGAATGAGAGACAGTCTTCTATCAAGCCCCTCCATCGGTGGCTGATAGAGATGTGATCTATTTCGGTCCAACGTTTGGATGAATTAGGGGGTCGCCATGTTAAAAGATCTTTTTGCTTATGCTTAAAGTTAGTATTTGCAAGAAACAGGCGGTTATCTGAGCATAGCTGCAACAGACGGTCGCCATTATCTGTTCTTTGAGCCACGCTGCTATAAGATCCACCCAGGTGTCTTTCCCTTTCGCTTAGTTTACCTACTTAAGCATTAAAGTCACCGGCCATTATTACTACATCTGAGCGCCTAGCTTTTCGGAGGTCGGAGAGCTTTCTGTAAAACTCATCTTTTACATCATCTGCGCTGCAATCAGTGGGAGAACAGGCAGAGACGACGAAGAGGCAACGACGAGTGTCCCTATCTTTTCGGATCCTTACTGTTCCGTTCATTCGGACAGCGCACAAACGACTGTCTTTTGGGATCCGCTCTAAGATAGCTAGTTATGCCCTAGGACTCAATGCTATACCTACGCCGGCGAGGCTACGGGAAGCAGAATCAGGGCTTCCAGATACACGGAGTGTGAATGGAGTCGGTTCTTTATTTTGACGTGGTGAGGTCAAGTGAATGACGCTACTCGGATCCTGTATGCGCGTTTCGGAGACGCAGCACACATCGATGGCGCGGGATTCTAAAGTCCTAGCTAAGGGGGCCTGTTGTCCTATTTGGCACAGTGTTCGGACGTTAAAAGCTCCTGCGCGTAATTTAGAGCGAGGTTTCAGGAGACCAGGAATAGCGTTCCGCGTACTCGAATCGTTTGCCTTAGTGGTGCGAGGTGATAAAGAGAAGTGAGGAGGGTTAGTTATGGAAATAAGAGAGGTATTAGGAGGTGTAGGAAGGATTTGAATGTGACCAACTTGGTCTCGTGTGCTGTTACGGGTATGAGGGCTGATATCACTTCCCGGCTGTCCACACCGTGGAAGGGTATTTCTTGAGGAATCTGAAAAGGAAATTGGATTAGTGTTGGTCTTAACGACCTGGGAGCGTGACCTCAGAGCCCAAGGGACAACTGCTTGAGGCCGGTCGCGCACGGCCTTTCTGTGGGAGGTTTTTAATGTGTTAGCTCCGTTCTTCAAAGGACCTTACCGACAGAGACGGAAATCCGTGAGGTGTGACATTCTCACGGTCTACCTTTTCTAACCCTACAGCTCCTTGTGGGAAGGCAGCATCGCTGCAGATGCTGGTTGTCCGAGGGAAACACCTTACTGCTTTCACACCCCTCTACAGTCAGCAGTACGACTTCGTCCTCAGACCTTGAGTTGCTGCTTTTAGTCTTACCGTTCTCCAATCGACCTGCCTGGCATGATAAAACCTACAGGAACATATGTTCCAGCCAATATAGCTCGGTTGGGTCATCACGATAGGCAAGCCCGACCATTGCGTCAAGGTAGCAGCTTCGGTCGGGACTTTCATGTGGACGTTAAGTTTGTTTTTATGAAGTGTTTTTATTTATGACATTTTGAATCTAGAGCGTGATGATGCGTAAAAAGAAGGAATTTCGCTTTCATATATATAGGCGGTAAATATTTACCTACCGTTTATTAATAATTGAGTTTTCAAACAACTTCACTTCATCCTAGTTATACCTGATGGATTACATCACATTTATTTAGCTTTAAGAGAGATTTCTCAAAAATTGCTGAACCCAATATGGTTTGGATTCTTACTGTCTTGTTTGATCTCATTGTGACAAATAATAGTCGCACTATCGCTAAA